GCTAGGCTGCTGAAGTTGATATGCTCTTACTTGGTAAAAAAGTTTTTCAGCCTTTATTTCGAATTCTGTTTCTTTCAACCCTTGTTCCATCTTATCCATGTCTAAGTCATCCAGTATGCAGAATCTTTATTCTTGAAATCATTATATTCATCGATGAGGTTCTCGGCTTCATATTGGGTATGAACTCGACGGGCTGAGATTTGATCCAAAGATCGAGTCGTGGCCATAGAAATGTGGTGCCAATGAAGAAGCAATGGGAGTTGGTCCAAAAACATTTGGAGCTCTACTTGGGCAATAGGGTTGAGGACATGACCCCGGGTCATAACATCACAAGCCCATCGAAAGTTCTTGAGAGGAACATCGTCCTCGAGAACATTGAAGGGCAAGTGAGAAAAGGCCGCAAGCAGAAATTGAGCTTGTTGTCGTTGATGTTTAGAAGGAGGAGATGGAGGGTGATAAGTGGGGAGAAACTGGTCCTCAAAGAGGGTAAGTCTCGGTTCCTCCATCCAATGAGGGTTTTGTGGAAGAGGAGGTGCAGGAGCTTCCATCTCGAAAGAATAAGGAAATTGGGGGTTGTTGACGATATCAAGCCAGTCAGAAGAACAAAGTTTTGCCTTTTGGGCTAAGAATGACGGGCTGTACCCTTGAGCCTCTTCTGGACGGTGAGTGCCTTGTACTATCTTCGTAGGCATAGACGACGTGTACCATGCTACGAGTAAGTTTTCTTCCAAATGGCGTCGACGGTCGATGGGTACATATGGGTAAACCACCGAACTCCGAGCAAAGGGGGGGAAAGTTAGAGGATCAACAAATTCAACAAAATGATGATTGATTCGTTCCCTTAACTTAGACTTCTTAGGTTCTGGCCAGCTTCTCTAACCAGAAGCCCCAGAAGAAGAAGAAGCTGCAGCTTCATCCCACGCAGAAGGTTTTGGGTCAGAAGAAGAGCTTCTAATATCCATGCTTGCAAATTTTTGGGTTAAAGAATTGTGAATAATAGGTTCGTAGTCCAAAAGTTGATAGTTTGCAAAAGTTTCCATGACTTGAATATAGGAAGGTGGGTAAAGATGGCTAATCAATGCATGGAGATTCTTTCGAGGACGAACAACATCATCAAACAACTCTTCATATGCTTGATCGAGGTAAGAAAAGGTCTGCTTGGCCATGAGAGCTGAACTAGTCTTTTCGAATACTGAGATAGTGGGAGTGTTCAAGGGTTAGAAGTGAATTTAATGCAAATGTTTTATGGATGAATGACGGTTGCATTTCTGAAAAAAATGCAAAGCCCATGCACGTTCTAAGACGTGGGTAAAATACCTTGATCCACTAATATCACCAAGTATTGGGGGGTAATGTTGGCTACATATTTTGTATAAAGCCAATCACAGTTCAACACGTGGCAGGATGAGGGTAATACGGGAAAATAATTCAAATATTCGATCGTAATCGTACACGTGGCAGTTAGTATTGGTTTCTATAAGATCTGCGTAGCACTGAATCAGTAAAGAGATGCAGAATGATGTAGCTTTAACGGTTATTCATATTTAAATTCAAAATCAGGAGGGAAACCTAACTGCAGATATTGGCATAGTGGAGCTAGCTATAAGGCAACATGATCAACGATCATGGAGGGGCGGTTCGACGGTTAGAAATGCAGTTCAACGGTTGTCATTGAGAAGTATAAATAGTAGAAAAGGCCACAAAAAGTGCCCCCAGAATCAGATCTAAAAAACCAGTTTTATCTACTTTATTTTCTTTCCAGTTTTTACATTTTCTTGTTTTTTACATTTCTGTACTTCAAATTCCTGCACTGCACTTCGTTCATAGGAGTAGTTTCAAGTAGTTTGTTGTTGTATCCCTCTACGAGACTGATTTGGATATTTGTAAGTCTTTCATTTTACTTAATGAAATGCTACAATTGTTCTTCATTTAATCATTGTGTAACGCCCTCAAAATAATAACATTAAACCCATCAATATAGACATGCATTGATATATAAAAACTCCACATTCTTCTATTCATCAGAGTTCCATTACCAAAAAGTATTACATGTTAACGACAAAAGCAAATGCCTTAAAGGCTTACAGCTTTCTAAGTTAACACTTGGTTACAACAAAAGAGTGCTAACTCATTTACACATTAAGCCCTTGGCTTGAATATATATGTAATACATCAAAGAAATTAAACAACAAAAGTCTGCCCGCCTCTAGCCTCCCAAGCTACGTCCTTGGAGGTGGCATACTACTTGTACCGGAAAATGATATTCCCATATAGGGTGAGCCACAGCCCAGTAGAAATACGCTAAACCAAATATGAACAGTGACTAAAAGATTAGCAGTTGATAGATGGCCAACACTGATAATTTCCCTTATCACACTTTACGGTTTCATGACATACAAGTCCATGTTACAATCCATTTTCCAATTCTTTTCAGTTCTCAATTTATAACCATGGCTCAAAACCTGGCCAAACAACTCATATGAGACAGTAACTCATATCAAACACTTTCCCATTTCATAATAGATAAGCATACTAGCTATATCACATTCCAACAAATAAGCATACAAGCTATATCATCACTTCCATAGATATGCATAAGAGCACTATCACACTTCCAAAGACAAGCATATGAGCTATGTCAACACATTACTAGATAAGCATATGAGCTGTGTCTATGGAGTCCATCCCCTATCTTCTCCCAACAACATCCGGTTTAGAGGTCCATCCCCTATCTTCCCCTAAACCGTGGAGTACATCCCCTATCTCCTCCAACACGACACAATGCATATAAACAATAATTATACACATCATCACACAACACATAAATTTAATGTATTCTTTCAACCGTCATACTCAATGACACATTCCAGTGATTAGTTTCAGTTTGCCTAATCATCATGCATTATCTACAACAATCAAGACTATTCTCCACTGATAGCCCAAAGCAGTTATTTCTATACAGAAAATAAATGCAACAATGGATATAAAATCAACATTTCAACCAGGTGAGTGATAAATAATCTAACTACACCCTTTAATTCCATACATTTCCAATTCAATTTCTCATTCCTCATAATTAATTATGCAAATTAATTAACCAATGTAATTAGGGTATTTTTCATAATTAACATTACCATCCTTAGGTTCCATTTTCATTAATGTTTTAACATTAATTTTACTTTTCCATGCCAAACATGCATCTAAGTTTTATATAGCTAAAACCCCAACTTTTGTAAATTTACACAAAGCCCCAAACTTTCACAAAATTACCAAACCAACCCCAACATCTCAAAATACTAAAATTTAAAGACAAAGCCCATAGTGAGGAGTAGGTTATCCCTACCTCAAAGAATGACACTCAACCAAGAAGATGATGGAAACGAAAATGCTCCAAACCACGAACTTTTCGGATCAAAAGATAGCTCTCGACGATCAACAACTTTTTTGTAAAGGCCAAAGGTGAGGAAATCACTCATACTAGATCAATACCTAGAGAGAAGGTAGAGCTCTAGAGTGAGAAGCTCAACAATGGTGTTTTTTTGGAAAAGTAGGAGAGAGAAAGAATGAGAAAAGTGATTTAAAACTGTCCCACAGACAACTGATATACGACATTCCCGCTCGAGCGGAAAACACAACACTCGAGCGTCAAGAACAAAAACTAGGTCCGCTCGAGCTCAAAAGGACCTGCTCGAGCGCCAAGATACAAGAATAAAGCACATCCGCTCGAGCGCGAAAACTAGTTCGCTCGAGCGCAGATTTCCCCCTCCCAGAACTTATACCCAGAAAGTACTACCCGCTTGAGCGTCAAGGGAACCGCTCGAGCGCCACCGCTCGAGCGTAAAGAAAACCACTCGAGCATAGAAATCACACCTGCAGAAGTTTTGCAGGAACACGAAATACTGGTGGTGTACAATCCCCGCTCGAGCGCAAGAAGACCCGCTCGAGCGGATCGTCTAAAAACTGGGCAACAAGGAATTGAAACCAAGGCCTAACCAACCTGTAACAACCCCACTCAAAACATCCTAAAACTCAATCAAGTGGAATTAAAGGACGACAACAAGATAGATACAACTACCAACTTCACGGAACCGAGTCCGGAATACAACAGAACAGTAAAGGGGCAACCGGGATCGCTATACATTGTTTGCTTAATTCTCCTAAACAAAGCCACCAGTAAAAGTCCTTTTTATTGAGGTTGAAAGAACTAAAACACAATCATCTGATAATTAATTGGTAATTAATATTCTGTAAGGACTGATTGATTATTGCTGGCACGCTCACAATTATAATAATAAGCTTCGAAAGTCAAAAAAGACCAACACAATCCTAATAATAATCCAAAATGCTGCCGTAGAAGTGCAGGGCTGTGCATGGCTTTTTAACAAAGGGAAATAACAAATCAGGGTGTTTTTAAAAATAATTAGAGATTCACGCAAAACTTTACAAATTTTAATGATTAAGTCATAATTTTTTTTTTATAAATCTGTAATTATTTAAAAACACCACTTATTTATATTTTCTCCTTTTCACAAAGTACCAAATAAATTTTGAGTAATAAATAAAAAATTCATACATAATGATGTGATTCATTGCGACCTTTCATTTTAAAATAAAATACTATTGAAGATAGATTTATTTACCATAATGGTATTATCATATCATTTTTATCAAGTTTTTTGCATGAATTTTATGTAAGTTTAGAAATTATCTTAATTTGTTTATAAATAAAACATTAAATTTTGAACAACAACCGTTATACAAAATGATCTTTCCAAAATCTTTGGGAATGCCAAATGTTTGCAATATGAGGGCGAAGACCATTTCCTAACTTGATTTTTGGACAATGATTTGAACCAATGATTCTCATTCTTCATTAACCCAAGGTTTTCGCAAAGCCACGTTGTTCAAAAACAATCCCCATAATTTAAGGTTGATCACACAAAACAAAACCCTATACTATGCCTATATATATTAAATACAAATCAACTTAAAAAGGAACTATTATTAAGCAGAGATCAAACAGACAAGAATTCACCAAATTACCACAAAAAAAAAAAAAAAATTTGAAGAGAAAATGGGAAAGCAGTTTATAGCAGTGTTTGTGATGTGCATGGTTGTTGTTGCAGCCATGCAGGTACGTGAGGCCGACGCAGCTATGGGAGATGTTTACAAGGAATGCTATGCGCAATGTACCAAAGACTGCAACGCCGAAAATGGCTACACCTTCTGCGAAATGAAGTGTGATGCCCAGTGCGGTACTAAAGAGGTTACCGGTATGTTTTCCCGTCGCAAAAACCATGCTTTTAGGCTCTGTTTGGATTCATTCATTCACTTTTCTTTTTTCTTGTTTTCACAAAAAGATTTAAATGTTATCTTAAACGACTTTTTGAATCTTGTACGTATAGTTAGTTGTCGTTTAAGAAGGAAACTTTTTTCTCGTGATTTTTTGAATTTTGTATAAAGTGAAAAAAATGTTAATGTTGTTAGAAATGATTTTTTTTTTTTTCAATATAGAAGTTGACTTCTAGAAAAAATTTTAAGATTAGGTAATATGTAAAATAGATGATTGACTAATGATTAGAGGTGACACAAGAAAGAAAGTTATTTTAAATATTATAATAAGTTATCATATCATTGGATTTGAAAAGTTATACTTGGGTTAGAATAGCACTTTTTTGTTTTTTTTTCTTTCTCCTTTTTTTGGTGGCTTGATTTATGTCTAATTTCACCCTTGATTTCGAATTTATAAAGAAAAATGATTAATTGGACTAAATTAATACAGCATGAAAAATTCTACAATAAAAAGTTATGCAATTAAAAGTACAATAACTAAATTGACATAAAAGACAAACTACATGAATTATATATTATGAGTGTAATTTTTCTAAATCTTGTACATATAGTTCCTTTTTCTTTTTTTCTTTTTTTGGGAGGAAAATAATTTCGGAGCTCAAATTTGAGTGCTTAATCTAACCCTAAAAATCTATGTTTTTTCATTGCACTCAGGGCCGGCCCTGGGCATGGGCCAACCAGGCCATGGCCTAGGGCCTCTTAAAATAAACCCAAAAAGGGGTCTCTCTTATTATGGTTTAGTGTAATATATTAGATATGTTTTAAGTTCAAAAAAAATTAAAGAATGCCTAAACTAATTTAAAATAAATTGATACATTAAAAAATTGAAAGGCTCATTAAAAAAAAAATTAATATTGTTATCCATTGAAAATAGACCAAAAAAAAGGGTCCACTCCTATTATAATTTATTGTAATATATTAGGTATGTTTTAAATCTAAAAAAAATTAAGGTCCAAACTAATTTAAAATAAATTGGCTCATTAAAAAATTAAAAGGTCCATTTAAAATAATTAGTATTGCTATCTATTGAAAATAATTTTGTAAAAAAATTAGATTATTCAAGTATGTTTGATTTATTTGCTTCTAAAAATGTAAGAAGAGCGAGGATCAAGTGACACTTGTTAGTTGTTGTAATGTAATACTAAGTATTTTTTGTGATTGACACAAAACTTTTGTCTTTTACCTTTTTTGTTTTTTCTTTTTTTTTTCATTTAATGAAAAAAAAATATAAAGAGTCTCAAAAATTTATTAATTAATTATCGACTTTGGATCTCGAAAATCTCAGGGCCATGACTGCACTAGCACAATACCTTTCCCCTATATTGTACTGTCATGGTTGCAATTTGTGTCGAAAGTTAAAGGTTGTGGTCCTAATGGGATATAGATGTACACTACTATATGCAAAGTGATTTGTCAATGCTATATATTAGGATTACATTGGAATGATTATCTTTTCCTTCTTATATTCTTTTTTTCTTTCCTATTCTAACTGCATCAATCTTTGTATTGATTTTCGTAACATTTTTTTTTTTCAGAAGCTGCATCCCAAATGGGAAAATTTGTGAAGGATGTTGCTGGGCAGAATGATTAAAGGACCCAGGAAGTCTCATATAAAGTTATGGATGGTTCCACATATTTCTTTCCACTGCAAAAAAAAAAAAAAAAATAATAATAATAATAATAAAAAATTATTTTAATTATATTATCTTTTACCAAATGTATAAAACTGGAAGGCTTTTAGAAAAGCTTGGGATTTGCAGATACGTACCAACTAAGTTGGGACATGTTGTATTACTATTCTTTAATCATTTTATATAATTTTCATTTTGAGTTAATAATTTTTTTTTTTTGTTAATAAAAAAAAAAAAAAAATAGGGGATCCACCCAACACTTACGTAACAGAATATTCAAATGGGGCCAACACCTGTATGAGTGTTATTATAGTCCTGTGCAACAAAGTAAGCTCATGTTAATAATAATGTAACAGATACATACTCGTAAATTATGTTAATAATAATAGGCATTATAATTTTAAATGAAAGGTCCACAGTTGACGACATCTTTTTGTATAATAATTTCATATAATATTTCTGTACGTATAATAATACTCTTGAAAATAATGGTTGTGCAGTGTTTGTTGAATATTGGATGACAAAAATCCTTGGTGCTACTCCATCACAAATGGCCCTGATACTGCCGTGTTTGGATTGTGATCATCTTCATTATATCATTTAATAGTTATAAAAACAATTTTAAAAATAAATAAATTAAATAACGATAAATTTATATTCTTAATTTATATCCATTGAATATATAATAGAGATTTTCTATTACAATTTGTAACGGGAAGGATTAATGTCCGTGGTGTCTCGGTGTGCAATCAATAACTTATGTGTTACGGATTAAATATGGATAAATTACATTACTAGTCTCTACATTTTGCCTTTCATGTCATTTTGGTCCTACATTTTCAATTGGTTAAATTTTGACCCTTATTAATTTTATATTTCTTATAAATTTGGTCCAATTGATAATGTCATTAGTGTTTTTGACAAAAAATTATCATTCAATTGGTTGAAATTAACTTACTGAATTGATTAAATTTATAATTTTACCCATAAAAACATGACGCATGCCACCCATGTGCAAGCTTTTCATAAAAAAAAATTGCTGACAATTATAATTAATTGGACCAAATTGAGACAAAATTATAAATTTAAAATTAAAATCGAGCTAATTAAAATTATAAAGATCAAAATAACAAAAAGACTAAAATATAGAGACTACCGATCTAATTTACTAATTAAATATTGGAGACTCATTTTTCAACAACTAGTAAGGTCAAAGAAGGGAATATCCAAGAATAGAAAAAGCTCAGTTATATAATAAAATGGTTTGGTTTGAGGAGCTCCATTATATTATTTCTTACAAGTTACAAGAAAGAGATAGAGATCTGATTTAGAATTTATGTTGTCTGTCCTAATTGAAGTAAAGAAAGTTAAAACTGAAAGCACAAGGGAGGATAAGAGAGAGCCAAAACTGATTATGGAGGAAAATTATTAGATAGTTCCTTAATATTATGTAGCTTTAGTTATGTGGTATTTGTGACAAATATGAAATCATAAATAGGTTACTCTACCATAATAAAAATGAGTCAGCATATTTAACTTATAATTTCTTTTACTATGCTATTAATTTGAACAATAATGCTTGAAACCACTAAAAGTGGTGCTCTAAAAGCACCACTAGTGATGTGGCAGTGGACGGAGCCCAATGCTTGCGTCTTGTTTTTTTTTATATATTTTATTTAAAATGTTTGCCAACTCATTAGTGGTGGTTTAAAGCATCACTTTTCGTGAGATGTATCATTCCCGAAAATTGGGTCCCTAAATTGGTAAATTGAAATAGAATTAGAAAATTGAAAATAGGGCCCAATTTCAGATAAGTTGCAAAAGCCCAAAAAATTTCAGGGTTCAAATTTAAATTATATAAAATATTGGTTCAAAATTTTATTTTATATCAGTCGATGTGGCCGTCATCGAGCAATGATCAAACTTCGCTTCGTCTTCTTCGATGTGCACTGACTAGGCAAGCAACGATCATCAGCGAGGTAGATATGAGTAGTGGAAATCCATTTTGCTAATGTTATGTTGACAAATGAAAATGTAAAATTAATACGAGAATTTTCGTATAGATTTTAATATGTCTACTTCTTATTTAATAGGTCGTGTGAGAATTAACAACGTTTTTTTTTTATCAAATATTATTAAAAAATAATATCACTAATTATTAATTTTCAATGATAGTTTAAAAAAATTGTTACAAAAAATGTCACTAATTATAAATTTTAGCGACAGTTTAAAAAAATCGTCACAAAAAAGTCACTAATGTTTAACTTTTAGTAACAATTTAAAAAATTCGTCACAGAAAAATGTTATTAATTATAAGTTTTAGTGATAATTTATAAAAATCGTAACAAAGTTTACTACTTTACTGATGATTTTACTAGAACTTATTTTTAATAGGATTTTATAGAAATTAAGTCCAACTATTATGACATGTTGGTAGGTTACCCAAAATAATATAATCTATGTTTTTTATTATATAAAGGAAAGGCCTATGATGGTGTTGATATTTTTGTGTCACATATTTGAGGTTTTCTTAAAATATTCTTATAGTTGATGTTTATGTAAAACAAAATAGGACGAAACTTGAAATCAAGATCATGAATTTAGCAAGCGTCAGGATCCTCTACAGAGTAAAATTTCTAGAGTAATCTCCTAGAGTAAATAATCCAACGGTTGAAATTAAAACTCACCAAAATGATGTCGTTTTGATGAGTAAGTTAAAAAAAAAAAAAAAAACCCAGCTTTTCACCTCTGCACACCGATTTCAATCTCCGTTCATCGGAAAATTTCTCCGCTGGCACCGAAGACCCAGCTTTTCACCTCCTATTACCGGTGAGATCATCATCACTTTCACCATTTATTTTTCACCTCATATTTATTCTGGTTTATTTTTTGTTGGTTTAAGGTTGTGTGTTCATTAATGAGGGTTTTTGCTGCTTCCACAAATCTATGCTTCACAATTCTTGCTTCCATGGTTGTATGTATTTGATTTTACTCGATTCAATGTTTTTTCTTGTTCGTTTAACAATCACCTTCATAAATCAACTCTTTCAAAATTTATGCCTTGTTTATATGTTTATATATTCGCAGATCTATGTCTTCGTACTAGTTTTAATGATTTTGATATACTATTACATACATATATCTATATATTTTAACCAGTGTTTGATAGTTTTTATGTATCTATATATTCATGGATTTATGTATGTGTACTAGTACTAGTGTATACATTCCATAGACATACTTTCAGTCAAAAAAAAAAAAAAAAAAAAAAGGTGGAAATCGGAGTGGTATCGGTTCCTGCATTTAGTATAGTAGCAATTATCTATCTATCTATCTGTTTGTGTATATATATATATATATATATTTTTAGGAGTAAGTTGAAAAAAAAAAAAAAAAAAACCCAGCTTTTCACCTCTGCACACCGATTTCAATCTCCGTTCATCGGAAAATTTCTCCGCTGGCACCGAAGACCCAGCTTTTCACCTCCTATTACCGGTGAGATCATCATCACTTTCACCATTTATTTTTCACCTCATATTTATTCTGGTTTATTTTTTGTTGGTTTAAGGTTGTGTGTTCATTAATGAGGGTTTTTGCTGCTTCCACAAATCCATGCTTCACGATTCTTGCTTCCATGGTTGTATGTATTTGATTTTACTCGATTCGATGTTTTTTCTTGTTTGTTTAACAATCACCTTCATAAATCAACTCTTTCAAAATTTATGCCATGTTTATATGTTTATATATTCGCAGATCTATGTCTTCGTACTAGTTTTAATGATTTTGATATACTATTACATACATATATCTATATATTTTAACCAGTGTTTGATAGTTTTTATGTATCTATATATTCATGGATTTATGTATGTGTACTAGTACTAGTGTATACATTCCATAGACATACTTTCAGTCAAAAAAAAAAAAAAAAAACAAAGGTTGAAATCGGAGGTGAAGTTTTCCGATGAACGGAGGTTGAAATCGGTGTACAGAGATGAAAGAGCTTCACTGCTCTCTTCTTCTCTTTCCTCCTTGCTTGCTCTTCCTCTTAGCCCTTCTCTCTCTCTCTCTCTCTCTCTCATGCTTCATATTTAAATCGGCTTGCAGAGGTGAAAAGTTGGGTTTTTTTTTTTTTTTTTTTCAAACTTACTCACCAAAACGACGTCATTTTGGTGAGTTTTAATTTCAGCCGTTGGATTGTTTACTCTAGGAGATCACTCTAGACATTGTACTCTAGAGGATCTTGACGCATTTAGCAAAATAAGCTCTTATCACTTAAGCAACGAATAATATACATATGTACTTTTTTATCGTTATTCTTATATTATTATATATTTTTTTAAAATAATACACACATTGTATGTGCCTCTTATCACTTGAGCAACGAATAATATATATATGTATTTTTTTATCGTTATTCTTATATTATTATATATATTTTTTAAAATAATACACACATTGTATGTGCTGACTTGCTAATATAAAAATATGGTGTGTCCAGCATTATTATACCAATAATATAAAAATATGGTAAGTCTAACATTATTACACCAATAATAATGCTAGAATGATGATATTTTCTTACTACATTTTATTTATAATTTATTTGTTAACATTGCATTGGAATCAATGAAATAAATAAAATATGATTAGAAAAAAAGAAAAAGAAAAGGAGAGAGTAAAGTAAAGATACATCTCTTTACATATTTGTGTTATAGCTTTAAGATACCAAAAATTTACTTGCTAATGAAAATCCCAAGAATTTTAAATTTTAGAAGAATAAGAATTTTTTTAAACGCAAATGGTTAAAAATGATCTTATAACTGTAAAAACTCAGTTGTTCCTATTGCGTTTAGCACCGGACCGGAGGTAGCATGTCACCGCCTCAATCTCATCCATCGACTACCCTTTTTTTGATTATTTAATTTCTTTGTGTTCAAAACATATTTTCTTTTTGGGTAATGCTAGGGACACCAAATTTTCTACCAAACAAATGACCAAATGTCTCACACCCATACACCAAATTTTCTACCAA